CACACACACACACACACACACACACACACACACACACACAAAGAAACAAACACAACACACACACAGACAAACACGCAGCTGTCTCGCTCACCTGTACAAGTTCTCGGCACCAGTCCTCATCCGTAGCTCCTTGTTGATCTTCTCATTGAGCTTCTGCCTCTGGTTCTGTAGCTTGCCTCGGGCCGTCTGGCTCAGGGGGTCGCAACCCTGGAAGAGAAAAAAAGGGTTATTTTTCTTTAATGTAGCTGTTTTACGCCCCAATCGACACAAGTAAGATTATCTAGAAGACAGGCTTTGGGCTTCGACCCTGCCAGTGCCAACCCAGGCTGAGAGGGATATCATAACGCCTCAGGAGAAAGACCGATAAACATTCTCCCTACACGGTACTCGAACCCAGGAGGAAAAAGACTGGGACTATTTATTTCTCGTCCGAGTCACTGTAAGTATTGTAATAATAATTAATTATAAATGATTTACATACACGCGAAAACAATTCAAACCTTTAAGAAAGCGGGCTGCTTCGACCATGCCTTTCAGGGCCAGCTTCGGTTTAGACTACTTAAAGGGATCCAGCATCCAAGCAGATTAACGGGAATGCTTGGAACAGAAAAAAATGCGTTAAACAAAAACCTCACACACCGGTTTGGTTTTTGAGTCAAGAAAGCAACGTCGATACGGTAACGGCCATTTTGGCCCTGGGAAACGCAAAAGAGATAGAAACAGCAGGAGGAAAGAAAGTTTGGACCATCTATCAGTGGCACCCTGAGATCGCCCATTCCACAGTAGTGTGTGTGTGGGGGAGAGAGAGAGAGGGGGGGGGGGACAGACAGAGAGACAGAGAGACAGACAGACAGACAGACAGACAGACAGACAGACAGACAGACAGACAGACAGACAGATAGACAGACAGACAGACAGACAGAGGGGGAGAGGGGGAAAGAGAAAGGGCGTTCTTATAATCTATCTACTGCCCTGCTGAACACAAAATAAGACACTTCATTTCACTGACGGCCGGAGCACTTAAAACCCTCAAAGTGTCCAACTGCTAAAGGCAAGGAATGGTATAATAAGGTTACACCACCTCATTCAATACTCTCGGGTATTCTGGATATTTTAGAGGCGGGAACTCTGAAAATCTATTTTTTAAATATTTTTTGGGGTAAGTGTTTTACGGCGCTCGCAAATGCATAAGGTCATCTGAGCGCGCGGGACACATTAAACATTTTTAGTTGGTAGGAAATTTTGAATTTTGCCCTGGTGATGGCCGAAGCCTACTCTTACCGATTTTACACTACCAAGGGATCTTTAACGTGCGCAACTTGCACAAGGGACCTCCGAGATTTTTCGCCCTTGTCCGAGAAGGCAAGGTGTAGATCTTGCCTACCAGAAGATCAAGGGTGTGGCTGAAAGACAATCTATATCTGCTCTCCGCACTAACACCCGACAACTGGGTAGAAAGCCTTGTCAACACAGATGACAGGTCCTGTCCGCTTAAATAAAGCCCACTTTCCAATTTTCAATAGTAGAATTTAAACATCGGACTAGTCATAAAAACATACATATTTACGATATTTAAAGGGGGGGGGGGGGTTCTAATTCACGCCCCAATTGACACAATTTAGATCAATTAGAAGACGGTCTGCTTCAATCCTGCCAGTCAAAGGCCAACCTCTGTGGTGACAGGAATTCTGCGTCACAGCAAACGGAGATACTCGATAAAAATTCTTCCAGCGCGGGAATCAAACTCAGACATCCTGGGTGCAACAGCGAAGCGCCTAACTGTTACACCACAGACGCCCGTTGACAGGCGTAGGAGAGCAGACTGGGTGCGGGGTTCGGCATCACAAAGGACACATTTCGCCAGGAAGCAGACTACACGACGATAACAACACTAAAAAAAGAAGTTGGAGGAAGGGACTATATCCGGGGCCCCTTCCACCATGAGGCCAAGCCTTGTACTGGCAGTACAGCATTTATAGCGCATTTCAGCTCACGAATAACGGCAATCAGTGTAAAAGAAAACGAAAAGAAAACGACATAAAAAGTTATTCCTTTTCCACAAACGCACTCAATCATCATACATTCATTACATATTGAGAGAGAGAGAGAGAGAGAGAGAGAGAGAGAGAGAGAGAGACAGACAGACAGACAGACAGACAGACAGACAGACAGACAGACAGACAGAGACACACAGAGAGAGAGACAGAGACAGAGAGACAGAGACAGAGAGAGAGAGAGAGAGAGAGAGAGAGAGAGAGAGAGAGAGAGACAGAGAGACAGAGAGACAGAGAGACAGAGAGACAGAGAGACAGAGAGAGAGGAGGGAGGGAGAGACATCCCCAAACGCTAAAAGTCGCTAGAATCGATTTATTTATATTGATTACATGGTACAAAAACCAAGCAATTGGGTAATAGTTTACAGCAAGTCGACGCATTAACAGCAAGACGCAATATCTTTCCTGGGAGTACATTTGTTTTTGTTAAAGAATTTGGCACTTGCAACACAATTACGTCACATAAATACCGGAGATTAGACACGTTTGCACAAAAAAAGGAGGAGAATTTTTAACTTTCATCCAGGGTTTTTCAGCACGTGTGAACACATACTGGTCATAAGCTACGGATATAAGAAGTGTTATAAAAGAGTAAAAACCCAGAAAAGGAGGTGAAGAGAGGATGATAGAAGGAAAGATGGAGTAAACCACACAAGAGCGCCCGCGAACCACCCACTAGAAGCAGATTACGGAGCTACAACAGCATCAACCTATAAATGACAACAAGAAGAAGCAGAAAGAGCAGACCCCCCCCCCCACCCCCCGAATCCATCCCCCACCACCCATCCATGGACGGACACGAAATAAACCTCGATCAAAGAGAGTAATTCATTAGACTCTGCTCGGATTCGAAGCATGCACTAAAGCAATTCGGTGCAACGACTGCCATTAACATTGTGGAAGTGTTAGGGCCCCATCGACACAGCTGACATAATTATAGGAGGCAGGTTTCGACTTAATTGTCTTTCAAGGCCAACTCAGGTTGAAAGACGGACATACTCGATAAAAATTCTCCCCACTTCGGAATTGAACTCATTTTTTCAATGCGCAACAGCAAAGTGTATGCCCCCTCAACACAGGTACTGGTTCAACGATTGCAGGTATACAATAGTGAACGTACTAAGATGCAGTAAAAGGCAAGAAAAGAAAAAAAAAGACAACAACAAAGTACTTATTTTATTCGATTGAGACAGCACAGTTATGCTTCAGCAAAAATACAGTAAGGTTCAGGTGTGCGTGTAAGGCAATACCATAGACATGTATTATAATACCCAAGACTGTTAACTCTGACGTAATGCGGTTCGCCATGGACTCTATTTGAAATCAAATAAAAGGACACGGAGGGAAAGATTGCTCGCGCACTGGCTATAGTGAGACTGGTGGCATTTTGCCTATCATTTGCGAGCCCACGGTGCGCATCGGCGTGGCAAAGTTTGTTCAGAGAGCAAAGAACGGCAGCCATGACAGTGCCCGGTCTAGGATATTATAATTCGTTGGAGGGGTTTTTTCTTAAGATTATTACGGCACTTATTACACAATTAGGTCATATAAGTGCCGAAGATTAGAGGTGTTACAAGGGAGCAACAAACACAAAAAAGAAGGAGGGGAGATGAAGACGATAGATGTTCGATAGGAAAGAAGGAGCAAACCACACCAGAGCACCCGCCAGCCACCCACTATTATAATTCAAGTCTATGGGCAATACAAACAAAGAAAATACCCCCCCCCCCCCTCACACACACACCAAAACAACACAAAACGAAATATATATTCGACTGAAACAACATAGCTGTTCTTCAGCATGATAGCAGTTGAGTGCTGCAGAACTGAGAAGTGATTAGGCAATTCAAGCTCAGAACAGAAAAAGAGAAAAATGAGAAGACGAAGCAATTGTGCTTTGACGAATCACTCCATCAAACGGTATTTTTTCACAGGAAAAGGGTTTAGCCACAAAGGAACGTGGGGAGGGGGGGTGTCCCTGTTCCACTCTGGAAAGAATAGATTCACATCGATCACCATCCTTTTCCCGGATGCCTGCGCGCTATATTAACATGTAGACATGTTGGAAAAAATAGCACTGCCAAAAATCGTTTCGATTCTAAAATACATGAGCGAGCGTGCGCATGTTATTTTTTTAAAATGTTTATGCAAGGTGTGCGTAACTAAGTGCGCACGTGCAAGCCCACACGCGCGCGCGCGCGAGTGTGT